GAGCATCATTATAATTTGTAGATCTCTTGTTCTTATAAATTATTAATTATCGATGAATAAAGTCCATTTATTATTATTATTTATTATTATTATTATGTCACCAACTATATGTGAACTACATTTTACCGAATAAACCTAAAGATTTCGACTTCAAACATACAGTGGAGACATTGAAAAAGTTATTCGGCAAGAAAATTTCTCTATTCAATACAAGGTTTCAATGTATGAATACAACAAAATCTGAATCACAGGATTTCATCGAATATGCAGCTAAAATCAACAGATCATGTGAAGAATTCAAGATCACCTCTATTTCTGCTGATCAGTTCAAATGTTTAATATTTGTATGTGGTTTGCAATCGCCAAGAGATGCAGATATACGTACTAAACTGCTTGCATTGATTGACTCGAAGAAAAACGAAAATGCCACCATAGATGATTTGACGATAGAGTGTCAAAGAATGATCAATTTGAAGAAAGACACTGCAATGCTTGAAAACACAAGCTCAATTTCAGCAATAAATGTAGTTAAATACAAACCAATTGAAAAATTCAGGAAACGTCATGATGTTTCAAATGATGAATCAGTTCCAAAGTCACCATGTTGGTATTGCGGACAACTACATTTTGCAAAATATTGCAATTTCAAAGCTCACAAGTGTCAAGATTGTCAGAAAACTGGTCACAAAGAAGGGTACTGCGATGTTGTTAATAAGGCGAAATTCAAGAAATCTCATACAAATCAACATTAGTTTAAATATCATCATCAAGTGAAGGTGATTTCTAACATTAATCAAGTCAATGCGCAGACCAACCGAAAATTTGTTGATCTCCATATGAATGGTATTCCAATCACTCTACAGCTGGACACTGGATCAGATATCACAATAATATCTCAAGATACATGGAGATATTTGAATAAGCCCATAGTTGCTGATACACACCATGTAGCAAATAATGCGTCTGGAGATTCACTCAATCTCATTAAAGAGTTTAACTGTGAAGTTCAAATTGGTCAAACGATAAAAAAATTGAAATGTTTCATTGCTGACATTTCAAATTTGAATATTCTTGGTATCGATTGGATAGATCAATTCAATCTGTGGAATACACCAATCAATCAGTTTTGTAAACAAATATCAAGTGTACAGAATAGAATTGAACTCACTCTTGAAGAGATACAATCAAAGTTCAGAGACATTTTCAATGAAAAAATGGGATTATGTACAAAAGCACAAGTTTCATTGGGTTTGAAACCGAGTGTTCAGCCTGTTTTCCGTCCAAAACGCCCAGTTGCTTATGCGATACTTCCAAAATTGGATGAGGAATTATCAAGACTTCAAAATGAAGGAGTTATAACAGCAACAGACTACTCTGAATGGGCAGCACCAATAGTCTTAGTGAGGAGGAAGAATGGATCCATCAGAATATGTGCAGACTATTCCACTGGATTGAATGATGCATTGGAGTTGAATCGACATCCATTACCTCTTCCAGAGGAAATTTTTTCAAATATATCAGGTTGCACAGTTTTTAGTCAGATAGACTTATCAGATGCATATCTACAAGTCAAAGTAGATGAAAAGTCTAGACAAATTCTTACCATAAACACGCACAGAGGTCTTTTCAATTTTAATAGATTAGCACAAGGGGTCAAATCAGCACCAGGTGCATTTCAACAAATAATTGACAACATGATCTCTGGATTGACAAATGCCTATGCCTATTTAGATGATATAGTGGTAGGAGGTGAAAATAGAATAAAACACGATAAAAATTTGTTCAATTTACTGAACAGGATTTCAGAATTTGGTTTCCATTTGAGGTTCCAGAAATGTTGTTTCTTTGCAAACCGAATCAAATATCTGGGACATATACTTGATAAACATGGTATACATCCTGATCCAGCAAAAATTGAACCTATTCTGAGTATGCCTCCTCCATCAGATATTCCAACTCTGAGATCATTTCTTGGAGCAATAAATTATTATTCAAAATTTATTAAACAAATGCATTCATTAAGACAGCCATTGGACAACTTACTAAGAAAAGAAACTTCATGGAAGTGGACTCATCAGTGTCAGCAAGCTTTCGATGATTTCAAGAAAATTCTGCAATCAGACCTGCTACTCACTCATTATAACCCAGCATTAGAAATCATCGTAGCAGGTGATGCTTCAAACACAGGCATAGGAGCTTGCATTCTCCACCGTTTTCCCGAAGGTACTATCAAAGCTATAAGTCATGCATCAAGAACACTTACATCGAATGAACGGAACTATAGCCAGATAGAAAAAGAGGCATTGGCTTTAGTTTTTGCAGTCATTAAGTTCCATAAGATGATTCTTGGTAGAAAATTCATTCTCCAAACAGACCATAAACCTCTTCTGACCGTGTTTGGTTCGAAGAAGGGCATTCCCGTATATACGGCAAACAGACTCCAAAGATGGGCATTGATTTTGCTATCATACGATTTCAGGATTGAATACGTACAAACTTCTGATTTTGGTCATGCAGATGTACTATCTCGATTAATAAACAAAACCTGATGAAGATTATGTTATAGTATCTGTCAGATTAGAAGAAGAAATTTGGCAAATTTTATCACTATCATTGAGCATCTTACCAGTCTCTTTCAAAATTATTCAAGAAGAAACGAAGAAAGATCAAGTTCTTCAATCAATAATTCAATATTTACAAACAGGATGGCCTCGAAACATGAAGATGCTCAGTCCAAAGGTCCAGGATTTTTATCATAGAAGAGAATCATTATCTGCTGTTCAAGGATGTTTGATGTTTATGGAACGAGTTATTGTTCCTGAGAGATATCACAAGAGAATTCTTGATCAACTCCATCCTAGTATTGAAAGAATGAAATCTCTTGCAAGGGGATACGTTTATTGGCCCAAAATTGATCAAAATATTATGATTCAATGTATAATATTCAATGACAAACTTTTGAAGTTTTATTTATTTGCTCATCACCTAACTGACTGACTGTCAAACTTTTCAAGAGCTATCTGGATAATATTTCTGAACATATACAGAATGTCTATATATAACACAACTCATAGAGAGGTATAGTCATTTCTATTGAAGAAATAATTGGTGAAATTGCTCTCAATATAATATGGTCAATTTGAATAAATAGTGGATGCCACTGGTTTGGACTACAGCATTATCATTTATTGTCTCAGTCAGGCATGAAAAAGTCAAGATACAACTTATGATAACTATTTTGTGATTTTGATCGATGTAATTCATGAAAAAATCTACTGAACAACCAGCGGTCGACAAAAATTAATGGCAACAAGTTGTCAAAACAATCAATGAATATATTGACAAAATTTGTGGCTTCGCGATCGTTGCGCCTTGCAAACGCTAATATCGCTTGTCAAACAAAGTGTCACATTTGATCCTAATTAAACAATATACTATTTGAATTCAGATTCCCATGGAGTTTTAAAAACTTGAATGATATATAGGGTGTTCTCTTTGAAAAAAATGTCACGGACGTTATAACTCAAACGAGAATCACCCTGTATATTTGATTATGGCGAATCGGAAATGAAAACGGACCTGTCTCAGAAGCAATATCTATTAAATTTATCAATTGTCTGGTACTGATTCCTCGGAGTTATTCCCACCATTCGTCATTTCATTCACTTATCCGTGGGTTCAGTATTGTTGGCATTATAGTCACTGAATGTGTTAATGAGTTCGGGCACAGCGGAACTTTTGTCCTTTTCAATTGTCTATATTACAATGGTTTGGGTAAAAACAATAAGACATATATTCTGCCCTTAGTCTTTTCAATTTCCCTAGTAGCGCCTGATTGTCAGGAACGATTTTAAAGGTTAGATTTTTTCGTCAAATCAATCATTGTCGTAGATGGAAAATAAAAATTGGCATAAAAACACCCACTTCAATTTATATAGCGATACACTGTTCGCAGAACAATAGTTATAGAAATGAAAATAATTCATGTAACAACATTTTGATATGACAAAATAGTCACATATTGATATACTTATTGCTAGTTCCTTATTATATGTAAAACTGTAGCCGAGTAATAAAGTTAAAAACATGAAGATTGTTTTTACTTTTCCATCTTTCGCTGCATTCACTTCTTACTGATAAATTTTGACTTTGGTCGGTATTGAAAACGCCATTCAATGATATTATATCACGTTGCAATTCACTTGATTTCTTCAGTTTCGTTCTCAAATTTTCAATTTCATTACGTAGTTTTGCAACCAATTCCTCTAATTTTATCTTGCATTTTGTGTGATATTGGATTTTTTTTCAATAATCTGTTCTGTAAATCAAAGGAACTACGGATCTTATGAATCTTCTATTTGAAAATGAGCGTAAAATAGTTTCATTCTAATCTGCTGTTATAATAAGTGAATTTTAATGTACCTTTGTCAGTACCTTCCTCACAATTATTGCTAGTCTTCAAATTAATTTTCCATCCAGGCCGTTTCATACATTCCTTCCATAAGGAAATAGTTGATATTTCCTTAAGAAAATTAAAGAAATGAGATCGTCATTTCCTTCAGAACTCCCGCAATTCATTACACAGCAGGACATTTTCATTCGTGGTTTTTTATTGTCAAATTCAAATAATTTTGAATGAAGAATCGCGGAACGACTATGATACTGTTGTCACAATGCAAGGTGTGTAACTTAATAAATCTAAACATTCATAAACACTAATAGTTGTTATTTCTGTGTCCGAACTCTTATCAAACTGATACGATCCAGTGACTAGTTGAGATATACTTTTTCCTGATTCACGAATGAATCGCGGTATCTTCCTGTTGTTATTTAGTCTGAGCTCTTTATGTATAACAATCTCCCCGAGAGAATGGAATGTAAAATCATCAATCGCCATTCAACATAATAACGCAAAAGATTCACTCTCTCACGGACAAAAATTTCAAAAATATCGATAAAATTCGAAGGATTCGTGCTATTCACCTTCGATGATCTCTCAGGTTATGTGGCTCGAGAACAATACAAGCGGATGAAAGCCCTGCTGACGATGGTGAAGGTGTACCGACAGAAGAAGATGAGGGAGTACGTCACCGCTTTGGAATCGAAATTCAGGCGGGCCAAATCGATGAAGGACTACGGCAAGAGCATCGTGTGGCCAGCGCCCCCCTTGGCTCTGCGGGATACGACCAGAAGCTTGAGGCAGATCTTCAACAGGTGGCGCGCGCAAATGATACTGAGCAGGTTAGCGAATTCATGCCATAGACTTATTATCCCAAGGAGACAGAATTGTTTACACTCAAACAGTCATACATTGCCGTATTCTAGTTTACTGTTAGATACTAGTATGTCTGATTGAAATGTTTTTTAAATTATCATCGACTCGTCCATGGCATTCGTCATTATTTAAGTGGCAATATTCGACCATTCATGATCTCGCTTCGCTCAAATGGAATGCTAATCGCTTAAACCAAGAATGTGTGGAATTTAATGATACAATTTCTTCCATTTGAATCATATTCATCCGGAATACATTTAAAATTTGAAACTTTGCGACATGACTCGAACGGTAATTGTTCATTTACTGCAATTTTGTTCATATGGTTGTTATCGAGCACTTTTCGAGATATATCGTTGATCGCTAACAAAAAATCAATGTTATTCATGTCATAATTTAAGGTTTAATCATCATGAATATTCAAGGAAAACGAGGCTGTCCGGCGGCAGTAAAATATAAAAACTTTCGTACAAAATAGTTCCCGCCAAGTTATTTCGAATATTTTTGTATTTGGGTATTCGAGTATTTATTATTATAGCCATGAATCGTTATACAGATTACATATATAAAAGCTCGTGTGTGCACCAGTCATCATTTAACCACATTTATAACAGAAAATTTGTAACATCAACTTTTAGTAAATGTTACTTTTTCTATGAAATATTGATAGTACCAAGTATTCAACTGACCTTTTCAGAGTAATTAATTCAACTCTGGTTTTCACTGAATGTATTTTGAGAACTTGCATCCCTTTTGTAGGATATTTTGAGCTTTCCTGTTACAGATTTCATGGAGCTACGAGTCGCTGGCATACATCGGAGATCATCCTGTATATTCTTTGCATAGTCGATTTAAATTGCATGTTATGTTTTGTTGACTTGATGAAAGTTCATTATTTCAGTTTGTTTTGAAAATATTTAGATGAAATGTCAAACGAGTTGTTAAGGTTCAAAATTGTAATTTTAATTCTTCTTTTTCTTTTGTTCCTTTGTCCCATGTAGCATTAACGAATAGTTCAGCGTTCAGACCTTCAACGAGCAGGATCGCGACAGTAACATATCAAGGTTGATAAACTTCGCTATATCTTTAGAATGTCTAGATAGTAGGCCGTCAGCGTTTTCTTATCGTTATTGATCTGTATTGATTTGTACCTATTGATTATTCATTTGAACCTGATATCGCTTATTGCAACGGTTGAATCGAATCTGGCTATTTGGTTGCTATGATTTTTTGACTTTTATGACATGGACATTCGAATTTCCAACTAGAAAAGAGAAAGAAAAATTGAAAATCGTTCATTTCTGCATCTGGCCATCATTGAATCAACTCGTAGGTGGATGTCCGCTAAAGTTAATTCCTGATCATCCACCATTTTTCGTGAGAAACATCTAATTAGAGGTAACTATTCAATTATTAAGAATATTTTTGGTTTGGTTACTTGTACTTTTAATCTTCACTTTTTGGATTTGGAAGATTATGTAAATTTTGCTCATGAATGCTTTTTTATGGACTCGAAAGAGTAAGCATTTCTAATGATTTGAGGAAACAATCTTCATGGAAAGATTGTCCTGGCTTTTATAGCTGATTTATTGTTCCTGTTAATGCTGGAAGGCTATTGATGTAAATTTCAAGAAGATAGAGAAAATTTCCAACTTGATGTCATAAATTCAACGTACTGGCTGGACTAAGCATACTTATAGGTCACCTGACGTCTCACCAGACTCGTATGCCCATGAAATCTGGAACCTGATGGAGCCCAAAATGATAATGAAATTGACCATGATGTAATTTGGAAGCTGGAAATATCAATAAGCTCTGGTCAAACAACATTTTCTGGCTTATTCACAGTCTTGCTGACATAAGGTATTCTCTGCATATTATATAGTACTCACTGATTGTTGAAACATTTATTATCAAATCTCTTATAATCTAAAATCAAGTACAATTTGGAATCTAGTACAATTGATAAATCATTATTCAATATTCCTATATCTGTGAAGGTGTAATGCATTATATCTGGGGAATATTCCATTGATTTCATTGATTAGATTTATCAAATCCCGATGATCATTGTGTCAAGTTTCACTGATAGGAGATCGTTTATATTTAACACCCTGTATAATAAATATGCAGTTGCAGTTGCATTTCAGGTGCAGTCAAAATTATTTGTGACATATTATAAATGTTTGTGATGCAGATTTGATACTTCTTCGAATACCCTTTTTAGTCAGTAAATGAACCTAAATTTTATTTGTTTGGTTTGTTTTCCTATCCTTCAGCACAGACAATTTCTTTCTACAGGGATTGGCTTAAGAAAGAGGTTTGTTGAACTTTATTTTCTGTAGATGGCGTCCAAATAGAATCTTATCTGGTAGAACTATCTTTCTTATGCTAATTGTTATATTTTTGACAAAGTTACATGATATGGTAAGTAAATGAACCACGACCCATTTGCCCCGACTATATGAGCTGACCGTTCGCACAGTGTAACCTGAAATTTCTAAATTTCTCAAGTATAAGGGTTATAAATTCACTAATTTATTGAAAAGGAATATTTATAAAAAAATACATTGAGAATTCGCATTCTCTATGTGATGAAAATATCAATTCTTACTCGGTTTATTCAACAGAAAACGACTACTTTCCTAGCTATATGCCATGACGAACATTGAATTAAATTTATTGAACACGCACGATAAGAATTTGAAAACAAAATCTTCTGAAATTGAGAATCTGCTTTCTCCGTCAGATAAAAATATGTATATGCACATAATATTCTGAATATTCAACAGAAAACAACTATTTGTCTGGCTATAAGCCACGTCGAACATTGAATTATATAGATGTATATGGAGTTTGTTGGGCCAGGTTACTCTTAGTCGGCGGTCTTTGGACTGCTGGCTGGAGACTACCCTGCACTGATGAGAGCCAGAAAAGCTTGAAACCGGTATATAGGTGTCGTTGCGTTAACCTGGCTAAATCTGAATCAATCGGCATTAGGGAAACACTTGCATTAGTATCGATGCATAGATTTCGGAAGGATGTAATTCAATGTTCTACGTGGCCAGGAAAGTTGCTGTTTTTCTCCTGTCATCTACTATTGTTGTTCATTTCATGAACATTTGTGGAAATGACTGAGCTTTTTGTATTTATTCAACCTTTCATTCCACTTTGAGCATTCTGTCTATTTCGTAGTTTATTTTTCAATATGAACATTGTGTGGAAATTACTTTGATTATTTTTTATTAATTTCAAATTTCATTCCACTTTGAGCATTGTGGCTATTTCGTAGTTATATTTCAATGTTCTGTCACCTCCAGAAAGCTCGTTGAATATTTTTGACTCACCCTGTATATCTTGGGAGCAAAGGTTCATTTCCTTACAGTGTGTTTAACCTCTGCTACGCGTCGGCCATCAAACTTCACACGAGGGAGGAAATGGATACCTTTGCTCCCTTGATATATAAATAGCTATTATTTTCGTTTAATTTTGGTTCAGTTGTCTGTCAAATTAATGTATAATCAAAGCGAAAAATGGATACCTGTCATGGCTATCCATGGCACACTTGACAAATGAGTATTTTGATTAGTATTATCATATGTATGTTCTTATTTTCAATCCAATCGCATATAGATTATTATCGTTAGATTCGTCAAAAAATAGTTTTTTTGGAAAGTGCTTGTCAAACAATTGTTGTCATTTGAATAATAATATTTTGACACGGAAATGTACTGTTGTCAACTTGTCTTCTTTCTTTCTTTCTATCATACTACTCTCTGATTATAACTTTCTGACATCACCTGAGTCTTAGATAAGTTTACGCCCGATCATGGCCACCACCTAGATGCAAAATTGAGAGTGGGTCTAAAAAGATTAAGTTGGCGTGAAAACTTCTAGAATTGTCATATTCTGATTCAGAATCGTATCGAAAATTGAAAAATGTTGGAATATACATGGTGTTCGATTTAAAAATTCAAAAGTGGAGTCATTGCTTGTAAAAGAGAAAGTGACCGGGAAGTGAAAAATATGTGAAAACGTTCCTCTTCACATACCATATACCCATATTAAATTTAATTTTGATACACCGAACATTGTAGAAGTTACGGCTTGTTTAATAGATTCGTTGACATCCGGTATAGGTCAGACAGTTGAAAAAAAAAGAACATTTTATTTGCTAACCTTACGTTGGAAGAAAATCATACATTTGATGACAATTCTGGAATTTTACATTTAGAAATCGATGGATTGAAATTCAATCATTACATCGCTCCTTCAAGTTAATCCGTCACCCCACATTTAAATGTAGAATTTGGACATACTTTCCGAAAAGAGGGATTAGCCAGACTGCTCGCAGATAATTTTGATTCTTTAGCTTCCTAAGTAAATGTCAGATGTAAGTAAGGCAACTCAGTTTGAGGTCAATAATTCATTGTAGGAGTATTTCACTTTTAGATCCTACTGTGTTAGCGAAACATTTTTTTTACAATTCTCCATCAATGAAGAATCAACATGACATGTATACAACAACCAAGTGGTCATTCCGAAACACGGGTAGATTCACACTAGGTGCGTTTTGTTGTGCCATAACTCATTCTGGTTCTTGGCATAGTACACGTTTTGTTGTGCATTCAAACCCATTTCCATTCGCATTCCTTCTCATGAGAAGGGTTGAAAATTGGAATGACAAATAAAAGTGACTTGTGTATATTATTGCATACAAGCTAATAATAATGAATAGAAATTGAAGAGAATCACAGAAAAACTGGAATTCCTCCATGCAAGGCATTGATGTCTTCCAAAAATTCGATCTTTATTCTCAAACGTTGGTTGAGAATCATGGATATTTAATTCGTCTATATCAATTTTTGATTCATGGGAGCGAAAGCAGCATGATAATGGTAAAATTGTTACGTACCAGAGACGAATACGAGAACAAATATAATATGATCAGATTTTGAGGTTGAAAATATCAAATGTTTCTTCAGTTCCAAATGTTCGCATTATCTGGCGCCGATCATGCGCTGATCCGTTTCCTTGGGCCCACTCATTCTACCACTTCCGGAATGGCTCAACAAAACGCACCTAGTGATAAACATACAAAAATCCGCCTTTCACAGAATACCTCGCAACGAATGGCCCCAAATGAAGCTGAAAATCACCGCTGCCAGCGCCCTAGTCAACAAACGCGCTCGCTACGGCGTCAACCGCAAATGGGAGGGCAACTACCTCTCCACCCACGCGGAGAACAACAACTACACCGCCTTCAACGAAGCGGTGAACAACCTGCGCAACACGAAGCGCTTCGGCGCTGTCCTCTTCTCTTCCTACGTCACCAAGTTCAACAAGTTCAACAAGGTATTCTTCCAACAATTGACCCAATGCAGTAATCGCATAGTTTGCATACAGGGTGTCCGGAGATAAAACCGACAAAACTCATGGGGTTATAGGGACTGTCAATATGATTGCAAAATGCCATAAACGAATGTCCAAAACGGCTTCGTTACTAAGATACAGAGTGATTTGTGGATTTTGACAAAAAATTCAATCCGCCATATAAAATTCAGGTATTAGCCGATTGGATTCAAATTTCGTACACGAATTACACTGAAGAGCATCAACAAGTAGCCCTTTGATCGAAACCAATATCAGGATCGGGATAATATTTTTCCCCTATGTTGAGTTATTGTTAGGATAACTCACCCTGTATCATAATAACCAAAAATTTCAACTCAGATTCGCAATTTACGGTGAAAATTGTATAGGAATTTGTTGAAAAATCTCCTGGCACCATCTTAGTTATTCCGTGATTAATTATCATTTTGATTTTTTCCATTGAAAAATCAATCATTGTCGGATAAAGTGCGTATATTTACGAAACCATGACATGAATGTACCTCAGTACAATGTTGCTTAGTTTGATCTATATTATGTTTTCCATTTCTTCTGACAAAGATAATACAAATAGACACCGTAAATGTAACAATGGATAACGTTCAGGTGGGACGTAATAGAGCGGTGGTAATCCGCTGTGCGCATGTATTCATTATTTCACCGACTAATAAGACTAAACAGTACCGCGTTATCATAAACAGTCGATTTCTTTCTTACCCCGCGCAGCTTGCGTTTGTTGTTTATATTTTTCAAGAGAGGTTGTAAAGGTGGGGGACTCGTGAGCAATTGGTAACGCAGCCTCTCTCCGCAAAATTCCACGATATTCATTATTTCCATTTCAATTTCCTTCCTACTAGCGTAGTTGAGGTAGGAGCAGTGGCGTCCTTAGGAGCTTTCACAAATAGTATTGGTTTGTGCTGATGGACCTATAGTTTTTTTGTTGAAATTTAATAATAATAATGTCCAGATATTCTTATCAAATTGCTTGGTGAAAAATTGATTTTAGAATTCACGGAAAAAACTCACTTCGACTTGATATCCAAAAAGAAGATGATCTGAAAATTCATCAGTATATGGTCTCTTGTAGGTATTGAATTTTTGCTGAGCCTTATGGAAGAAAACTGGGTGTTCAAGTTTAAATATGGATATGTATATAAGCCGTTTTTACGAATAATGAGTACTTTTGACCCAAGCAAAAGTGCAACAGTGATCCCTCAGGCATTTATTTCACTTCCTCGCACTAATCAGCCTTATATGCTACAGTTTCACACATCATTTTCGAAACAGTGCTTCTAGAATATTTTTTCATGATTTTCATGATTTTTCTCATTCATCATTTTTTTTTTCTTTAAAATCGTCATAACAAAAAATGTACAAAGTTCCGGAATTTCAAAGAATAAGATGAATCAATTCTTTGTCGGTTTATTCAATAGAAAACAACTACTTTCCTGGCTATGTTCCACGATAAGAATTTGAGAACAAAATTGAACGATAGAAACTTGGTATTTTTATAGACCTTTAATTGCAGATCCATGATTAGGGTTTCTCAATTCAGAATTTCTTTTCACGTCCTGTATGATGAATATTAATTTGTCATACATTCAAAAACAAAAACGACCAGATGACAGTGATTGAATATCAGCAACAATCAATAATTCTCAGATGTCAGTTCGTTATAGTTTTAGTTATATTATAGAGAGATGAAAATTGTGTATATCATGAAGAATTCCTGAAAGAATAACTGGACTTCAGGTTATTGAGGATGATTTGATATCCAAAATGAGTTCATTCGAATAAAGTCATATAACTTCCATATCACTGATGCGAATGATTTTTTTCGGAAGTTTCAAGCTCATCAAGATCAAATTTTATACAAGTATACTTATCCTATTCATTTCAATTTTCATTTAAATACTGAACATATTCGTAAGTTATATTTTTATATCATAATATAACATATTATTCATCAGATTTGAGAGAGAATGTCAATTCTCAATTTCAGAGGATTTTTATTCTTCATATTCTCCTTTTGGAAGTTCAACAGATATAATTCAATGTTTGACGTGGTACATAGCCAGGAATGTAGTTGTTTTCTGTTGAATATTCAGAATGATATTTTTGTGCATGCATAATTAATTGTATCTAAAGGTTAATGAAAATTCTCAACTTCAAAAGATTTTGTTTCAAATTCTTATCGTGTGTTCAATAGATATAATTCAATGTTCGTCTTGGCATATAGCCAGGAAAGTAGTTGTCTGTTGAATAAACCGAGAAAGAATTGATATTTTCATCACATAGAGAATGCGTATTCTCAATGTATTTCTTTATACCGGGTGACACTGACTCATGGTATACCCCCCCCTTTTCTTCTTTGTTTTTCTATCTATATCTCTGAAATTTGAAACATCGAATATACTCCCTAGAGGGCACTTTCTCACATCTTTGGAATTTTTTTTTTCATCCGGTTTTCCTGAAAATTTATTGTTTATTGAAAAACTAGCTTCCAGTTAGAAATAAAATTCTGGTATGAGGAAGTTGATTACAAACAACAATAATGAAATGATATAAGGTGACAACAACAACAATAAAAATCAAAAAAATCTAAAAATGCTAAATCGATCAAGTCATAAAAATAGCCAGAGGGACTAATCAGTATATGACAAAGTATCAATTTTATCCATTTCGTAATGAAATCATGTGTTTTTTTAATTCAATCTTAAATTTTGAAATATGTCTGCAATTGTTTATATTATGTGGTAATTTATTAAATTCAGCTAGAGCAGCGTGAGTAAATTTTTTTTGGCCAATTATAGAAGTAGCAGAATCAAGATGAAATAAGTTTAATTGTCTCGTGTGATGACCATGAATTTCTGAGTTTCTTACCAAAACAAAATTGGATTTCAGATTATTGTTTATTATATTATATGAAACTTTAAGAGAATCTATTTTATATAATTCATCCAATGAAAATTTTTCTGTTATCGCATATAGATCATTTGTTGGGATATCAAATGAGAGGCGATACAATACTTTCAGTGCTTTCTTATAAAGTGCAGATATTTTACTGAAATAATTTTTTGAACAAGATCCCCAAACGTTTATCATATAGGTAATACGACTGAGTATATGAGAATGAAGTACTATGTTTATGACTTTTTTGTCAAGTTTAGGACATCTTCGCAAAGCTCCAATGATTGGAGATATTTTTTGTATCAGAACCTCTATAATATATGCTTGTCCCATTTCAATTTTTCATCAATCCACAAACCAAGATACTTTATTTGTGTAGTTCTTTTCAATACTTTATTTTTAATTTGGAGATTGAGACTAATATTCTGTTCATTTTTTTGATGGAATATTATATATTCAGTTTTATTGGTGTTAATTGATGAAATGTTTGAATAAAGCTATTTTTCAAATTTTTTCAAATCTTCGTTAATAATATTTTCTAGAATGGTGGGGTTTTTGTTTTCGTACAGTATCATCTGCATATATAGTATAATTACCTGACAATCCAATTTTAGAAATATTTCGAATATATAATAAATACAAGATGGGCCCTAAAACAGATCCCTGTAGAACACCTTTACTTATTGGAAATTTATTAGACTCTGACATATTACATTTAGTGCTGATTGTCCTATTCGCAAGATAAGATTCTAAAAGATTTTTAACAATGCCTCTGAGTCCCATCGATTCCAAGTATTCTAAGAGATTCTTATGTTCAACTGTATCAAATGCCTTTTTGAGGTCAATAAAAATAGCTACAACGTAATTTCCCGTATCAAGTCCTTCTTGAATTTTTTTGTACTACTACGCTACACTCACTCTTTGACATCATTGGAACACCGTAGAAAGGTCGGCGACCTTTCACTTTTCTATCGATACTTCCACGGGAAATGTTCTTCGGAAATCTCTGCTATCATCCCTTCACTAGCAATACCAATCAGACGAACTAGACAAGCCCAGTCAGCACATCCTTTCATTTTCAACCTCAAAAGATGTCGAACAGCACTTTATCAAGACTCCTTCATCCATAGAACGGCTAGGCTCTGGAATTCATTGCCTGTGGAAGTATTCCCAACAACATATTATAATCTCCAAAAGTTCAAAAAAAATTCCAATACCTACCTCCTGTCCCTATCCTCCCTAGGATAGCACGATGTTCTTTGAACATTATAGGGATTCCCTTTCGTGCGCTCCAAGCGATTAAAAAAAAAACTGCTGCTTGTGTACCACTATTTTCTTGGAATCCGAACTGATTATTATCAAAACTATATTTTTTGTTTATGAAATTTACAATACGCTTCTTCAAAATTTTTTCAAATATTTTCGAAAATATGCTTAATATAGCTATTGGTCTGAAATTTTCTGGATCTTCAGCATCCCCACTTTTGAATATTGGTCTTAGTGAAGCATGTTTCAATTCATATGGAAAAATACCTAATACAAAATTATTATTGATTAATTTTGTCAAGGGTTCAGCCAGAATATTTTTTAATTCAAATAAATCTTTTGTTGATAAACCTTCAGAGTCAGGACATGTGTTCTTCAAAGTAGGAATTATTTCAATAACTTCATTTTTATCAGTTGGAAATAGAATCATTGTAGAATCATTGTATTCTGGAATGTTTTTTTCTTGTGGAATGTTGTTATAATATGTATTGATTTCATTGGCTAAATTATTACCAATACTCGAGAAATGATCGTTCATAGCACTGGCTATTTCCAGATCGTCAGTAATTATTTCATTTTTGATTTTTAATGAATCAATCTCTTTTTTATTTTTTTATTTTGATGTACCTCTGATACAATAATTTATAGTGTCCCACATTTTCTTATGGTTACCTTCAGAAGATTCAAATTTCTTATTTATATATTGAGCCTTTGCCTTTTTTATCATAGCATTTACTTTATTTCGTTGTATTTTATATTCACCATAAAGTTCTTGATCATCAATTTGTTGTTTATGACATTAACTTTCGATTTTCAAATAGATCTCAAACGATCGCGAAGATATTCGCGTTCAAAGTTCAATGAGTGTGACAGAGAAAGAAGTTTCGATATTGCGCCGACACAGCTATAAAAACTTCGTACGTAAATATCTTCTTTATCGTTATTATAATCTCTAACCGATTATGGAATGAAATATAGAGTGTTCTATTTGGAAATCGAAAGTTGATGTTATTTCTAGGAAAACCGGATGAGATGAAAAACATTTTCTAAAATGTGAGAAAGTGTCTAGTGAGCATATTCGATGTTCCAAATTCCAGAAATATAGGTAGCTAAGAAAACAGAGGAGAAGAAGGGGTTCATTATTCCAGATTTTTTGTGATTTTCTCTCTTTTTTCTATAAAATAAAAATATGAATATTATTCCAATATACGTGTAGTAAGGACAAATCAGATGATTTACCCCAAAATGTCACTGCGTTTAAAGAATTTTCCTATCAGAGAGCCTGAGAGAAACATTCACTAGCTAGAATTTGTATTGAAAAATGTTTGGAGAAGAGAAATAAAGGTATATAGAAAAAATATCAAATTTTCACTTAGCTTTGGACGTTTCGGGAACGAATCTGCTCTCGTTTTCAACAAAATGGAAAATTCTTTAAACACAGTGACATTTTGGGGCAAATCATCTGATTTGTCCTTACTACACGTTATTGAAATAATATTCATATTTTTATTTTATAGAAACGAGGAGATAAAATCCCAAAAAATCTGGAATAATGAATGTACCGCCTCCTCGATTAACCCACAGACAGTATTTGAGAAGGAGGAGGTATACCATGAGTCTGTGTCACCCGGTATATAACCATTTTTTTATGTTAATAATTTATATAATATTCCTTTTCAATATAATATTTTGATTCGAGGTGGCCGAACGCGTCATGCTCGTCACCGACCAATCGGTGTTCAAGCTGGACTGCGAGAAGTTCAGGAACATGAAAGAGGGCGTGGCCGTCGCGGATTTGACGGGGATCAGCGTGAGTCCGGGCGAGGATCAGCTGATCGTGCTGCACTGCCCCGGCGGCAACGATCTGGTGGTGTCGCTGAGGTCGCAGCGGCTGGAGGATAGGGTGGGAGAGTGCGTGGGGGTGCTGTGCAATAGATATTTCCAGTGAGTACCTACTATTACAGTATCTACAGTCGTATTCAATAAAAAGAGAGGATTTCGGGATCCTAGTTCTAGTTGTGTTAAACTGGCTCAGCCAACGCTTTGTGTTTTTGAGAACCTATGACAACTTCACTGTCAACATTTGGTAAATAATCATTCCCGATAGCCCGTTTTATGCAGAATAGGGTGACGCTAATTTCTCTCTGTAATATACTTCTACGCTTTTGTTTTTGAATGCGACTGTAAGTTCCTTTTTCAAGTTCAAATTGAGACTTCAATTTTAAATTGGAATTGATCATATCCAAGTATTTGTATTCAATTAATTTATATTGTGGAATACATTGTTATGGACTAGCTGACCCGGCAAACGTTGTTTTACCATAAACATCATTTCTAGAAAAAAAATTTTAGATAAATATTTATCAAAAAACTTTTATTATCTTATATTAACTTCTTTTGTTTAGCTATCTTATGTTCAAACTACTATTCACTACAGTAGCTGATACCCGGCAGCATTTAAACATTCCGGTATAGGATTCGGCACCTGCTTAAATTCTATTGGCCGATTTTTATTTATCTGACCAATTGAAGGCGGAGTGCTGAAATTCGTACCAGAATGTTGAGCGGTGCTGAAGCACAGGTCGGAATGTTGATGAAATGAAAGCTGGAGATAATGTGTAATGAACGCATTTTTCAATAACTTTAGAAATTTTCATTTATATTCATGATGATTATTTGGTATAAAAGTTTTAAATGAATGATTATATGTGATAAAATGAGATAATAAATTCGAAATAACAATCATTAGAACACCTAATCTCTGTTAATGTCCTATTCCATGGGACTTAGCGTTTGGTTGATTTCTCGCCACGTTACCTGCAAAACTGCGTCTTCGTCTTCTTCGAATACATTTCATGAGCAAATAAAAAAATATTTAAAAAACATAAAATTGTTACCTGTACAAGAATCCTTTAATATTTGTAAGGCCTGATTTGAAACGCCATGATGTAAACGACTGAGCTTCATAATCATTCATCCATTGCACAACTTCTGTTTCATTCTTCATATTGCCCCTATACAAATTTTCTGAAACTTTTATTAATCTTTCCATAATTAGTGATTTATGGTATACTTCACTAATTGATGATTGCACTTAACTATAATAACAAGATTGCAGGTTTGTTGTTAGCATGTGGGAACGACGGTATACCTAGATTCACTGGATGGTATTAGTTTGATAAGAGTTCGGACACAGAAATGACAACTGATAGGGTTTTTTAATGTTTAGATTCATTAAGTTATACACCTTGCATTGTGACAATAGCACCATAGTCGTTTCGCGCTTTTCATTCAAAATTGTTTGAATTTGACAGTAAATTTTATGAACGTCAGATTTGAAATAAAATGTAATAATTATACTTTAGAGAAAAAAGCAGCTATGGAAATCACTTACTGTGTAATGAATTGTGCCAAATCTGATAAAAATGGATATCATTTATTCAATTTTCCAAAACAAATATCGACCATTCGTTTATGGAAGGAAGATATGAAACGGCCTGGGTAGAAAATCAATTTCAAGACGAGCGAAGTTTGTGAGGTACTCATTAAAATTAGCTTCTTATAACAGCATCTGATCACAGAATGAAACTATATTTTAAGTCCAGTTCCGAACAGAAGATTTCAAAATCTGTTTGAGAGAATCTGCTATTCCATCAATTTACAAAGCAGACGATTTCAAAATTCCATTATCATCATCACACAAAATACAGAACAAAATAATCATGGAAAGTGGAAATGACCGTGAAATTACATAATGAAATTGGAAATTTGAAAACAAAACTAAGAAAGGCAAGGAAACTACAACGTGATATATTATTGAATGGCGTTTTTGGTGCCGATCAAATTCAAAATTCAACGGTGAAAAGCGAATAATTATATATGTATTAAGGGAACGCTGGAGGTTATCGTTTTGGAGATATTTTCTGTATCGATCCATGTTACTTAGATGTTTAGCTCCTAGGGCGCTAAGTGAAGTTGCTGAGAACTTTTCAGAAAAATGTATTTGGTATATCGATCCATGTTACTTAGATGCTTAGCTCCTAAGGCGCTAAGTGAAGTTGCTGAGAACTCTACAGAAAAATGTATTTGGTAGGTCTCGTCAAAATAAACTACTTTTCTCCAAGGAAATGTTTATCGAAAAATGATTTGTTCTCTGTGTTTCAACACCCTGTATCTCCGAAATGAAACATTTCCGGACACAAGCTTATGTAGACTTTATTTCTTAAAATTGTCTCAGTAATACTTCAATTGAACGTATTTATGTTACTTCCTGTATATTGAGAATACCTACCTTTAATTAAATATTAATAACTTCATGTTTTATACTTATCACTGGAGTACAGTTTGACATACAATAAGGATTTATAGCTATAAGTTTATCCATATGTGTATATTTTCTAATATTAAAACGTTGGTACATGCATTCTTCTCATTTATATAACAGTTGTTCTGCTAGAAGTGTATCACTATAAATTGAAGTGGGTGTTTGTACCCTATAAGTATCCATTGTCCATCTACGGCTTGATTTGACAGAAAATATAACCTTTAAAATCGTTTTCGACAATCAGGCGCTTCTAGGGAAATTGAAAAGACAAAGAGCAGAATATATGTCTTATTCTTTTATTCACTTAAACCATTGTATTATAGAAAATAGAAAAGGACAAAAGTTCAGCTGTGTCCGAACTCTTATCAAACTAATACCATCCAGTGACTCTTGGTATACCTAATCAAAAAATACGCAGGTTAGGTAAATGCGAGGGTAAATGTAAACAAAAACCGCGCAAAATGCAGGGCAACATTCCGACCTGCTTTTCAGCACCGCTCAACATTCTGGTACGGATTTCGGCACTTCGCCTTTAATTGGTCAGACAAATCAAAATCCGCCAATAGAATTTAAGCAGGTGCCGAATCCTATACCGGAATGTTTAAATGCTACCCGGCAAACTTTGTTCTGCTATATACATTCATTTCTAGAAAATATTTTTTTAGTAAATAATATATCAACACACTTTTATTATTTTGTTTTCTACTTCTTTTTAGTTGGGCTATCCCTAAAATCGTGTTTCATTAGTATTTCCATCTACTATTTTTTTTCAATTTCTACTCCATTTTAGTTCATCTTGTTTTTTATTCTATACTATACATTTTTTACTTCTATTCAGTTTGGCCTCGAGTTTGGCTATCCATAAAAGCTTGTTTTGTTGTAGTTTTTCAAACTACTATTTATTAAAAGGCTCTTTCGCCATTTTAGATCCGCCATCTCCAATTTCCCAATTTTAAAGAATAAAGTCATAATCTCCGACCCCTAAAACCCCCAGGTACGAATTTTGAATGGAATCTGATCATAATTTCAACTCTCGCCCTTCATATTGGATCCTCCATCTTTAATTTCCTAATTTTGATGAAAGATTCATAATCTTCGACCCCAAAATCCCTCAGATACGAATGGAATCATAATTAGAAAACTCGCCCGTCATATTAGATCCGTTATTATGAATTTTCTCATTTTGACGAAAGAATCATAATCTTCAACCTCGAAAACCCCCAGATACCACTTTTGAATAGAATTGGATCATGATTACAAAACTCGTCCGCCGTATTGGATCCACCATCTTGAATTTCTAAATTTTGTCGGAAGAATCATAATCTCCGACCCCAAAAACCACCAGGTACCAATTTTTAATGGAATCTGAGCATAATTAAAAAACTCGTCTGCCATATTGGATCCGCCATCTTGAATTTCCAACGAAAGAATCATAATCTCCGACTCCGAGAATCCCCAGATACCAATTTCGAATAGAATCGGTCCATAATTAAATAACTCGTCCGTTATATTGGATCCGCCATTCTGAATTCCTTAATTTTGACGAATAAATCATAATCTCCGACCCCGAAAACCACCAGATACCAATTTTGAATAGAATCGGACCATAATTGAAAAAAACTCGTCCAACATTTCGAACGTTGGGTCAGGTTCGCACCAGCGGTCAAGAATGCTATCTGGGACAGCCCTGCAGCTCGGCGTTTGGGAAGGTAACACTAGTGATTTTATTCGTCTATACGAATTATTGCATAGATTTCGGGACGATGTAATCTTATGTTTTGCATTGCATATAGCCAGGAAAGTAGTTGTTTTCCTATCGTTATCTACCATTTTCGTTCATTTTATGAATTATTGTGGTAATGGAGATTCTCTCTCTTTGATATATAGTACTTCAAAAAAAATCATATAAACTTGTATGTTTTGGAGCTCAGTTTTCGAGATACGGGGTGATTCCATTAAAAATGCGACAAAATTTCATTTTTCTGAACTGAAAATTTTCCAGGAAAAATTTGAATAGTTAGTAAATTGGGCGTCCTGATTCCAAATCTGAAGTGATTTTCGACCTATTTTGACTCCTAATATCATTTTCCGGAAATTGGGGTAGTTTCATGGCTGTTGGCGAGCAGTGTATATCACTGAAGATGACCCCACTTGGTCATAGAGTGCATTTTTGGTATATCTCTCGCTCCAGCAAATTTCAGGATCCTTACCCAACGATTACGTAAGATACAGGGGTGGTTCCATTTTAAATGGGTCACACTGTATATACCCGTTTATACAACTCACAGTGCACAATTGGTAATATAATGCATAATGCACAATTCACAAAGTTAATCAACTTTTATCTTTTATGCATTATGCACTAATTGCGCTATGCAATATACGCTTGTGCGCATGCGTCTGTCAAAAATGTCAACTTGTCATGATTGCATTTTGCTATTTTAATTTCATTTTGCTTTCATGGTAAGTAGATTAATAATTGATAAAAAAATCAAAACTGGGAAAAACACACAAACAACACAAAGTGAGGTTAACAACTCTTGCCCAACCTGTCACTTCTGTCACTTGTAAGCATATCAATTATGCATTGTATAAACACTCCTTTCTGTTGTGCACTACGAATTATGAATTATGTTTTATGCATTAAACACTATGAGTTATCAACTATGCATTATGAGCTGGCTAAACCCGCCTCACATAAGTAAAGAAATGAAGATGAGCAAAAAAATGTAACTCATTGTTTTATAGAAAACAGAAAAGAACAGTTTTCTGTCATATTAAAAACCTATTTTTTTTTCTCGTTGTAGGATAAAGAATGCTGAGCTTCCAGTAAAAGTATCCAAATCGATTTCTTGTATGTTGGGTGGCAAACAGAGAATAATAAATATACAGGTGTCCGCTGCAGAGCAAGCGGCTACCTTTAGGAAAGACGGAAACAACATTACATATCTGCTGCCGTCCAATTCATCCATTCTCGAGAATGGAAACAATCACATCAAGCAGTGAATTGAATTGGATCGTCTTCAAGGTTCAATAATATTTCACAGGAAACTTAAGTTTGGTAACATCTTCCATTACTGCCATAAAATGAGCATAGTCGGTAGCCAAACAGGCTTTAAAAATTATTGAGTGTGAAAAACGAGGTTTTAGTATACTTTATTTTACCTAGTTTTTGTTTTCAAATTGTTAGTGATTTTTTGTTGAAAAAATGCCTATATGCTGCAATATGGTATTTAATGTACAAGATTGTTTTATTTTTATGTACCTTATACATACATGAAAAGCTATACAGACACTGTACTACAAAATTAATGCATCACTTGAAGGATTCAATGAAAAACTTCTAATGAATAATCATTTTAGGGGTAGATTCATCTTTATGTATTTGTACATAATAATTCTTGTCAAAAATTTATGTAAATGAAAGTCAAATATTCAAGGACTTGCTTGACGACATAATTTTCAAAAAACGTATAGTACGATGATTCATCTGAAAAAACAAGTGATGTATTAATTTTTATATAATTTTTACTTTTTTGTGCATTGCATAAGTCAGTTCTATACAACGAATTGTTTGTTCAGGTTGTATACATTTCTGATTTATTTACTATACAGTATACTGGGTGTTTTGAACTATTTTGAAGAGAAGCAGCTCTGGTACTTAATTAATATTGGAATTAGACTTCAGGTGCTTTGGAACCTTTCTTTATGTTGATTTATATGAGCTATATTATAACGTCTAAAATTATTTTTCTCGGTTTGCACATGGAATTATATCAACTTCAGAAATTCAAATGGAACACCCTGTATTTTCATATTCAGTATTGAAACTATTGAAGGACAGCTTTGCAAATTTTCTAATAACTGAGTTTGCAAAATTGACGAAGTTTTCGGTTGACCTCCAATAACGGATCAAAGAAATACAGTGTGGTTCATTTGAATAATGAAAGTTGTTGTAATATCCTGGATAACGAAATTTTCATGAAATATTTTCGGGCGTTATAAGTTTATAAGCTTATGAATCAATATTGAAGGTTTCAGAGAACCTAAAGTGCCTTGAACATCCCATTATACGTCCTTTAAAGAGTGTGGACACGCTTGTCAGTTCTGAAAATTCAATAGGCGTCCCTGCGAAAATGTTTTCCAATTTGTCTTGATCAATGAAAATTGCAAATATTTCAAGAATGATGGTTACCATTTATATTTGTGCTGCTCAAAGACATTTCAAGTGTCCGTTGAAGCTTCAAATTCATATATTCATTTCATGGAAATACATTCAATGATTAATATAACCCAGTGTGCCTTTGGTGTTACGCCACTGTTAGGGTTTGGTTCAATGGAGGGGTACAGAAAAATGACTTTCCATCTCTTATAAAACATATTTGTGTTTAATGTTTTTTGTTCAGTACTTTAATATCATGACAAGTGTGTCCACACTCTTTGTAGGGCGTGATATGAGATGTTCGAGGCACTCTCAGAGAACCTATAGTCCAATTTTAATTCTAACCAGAACACTGGGCTGATGTGTTCCCTAACAAAAAACAGCCCATATGTAAACAGATATTTATAACATGAATTCGATGAAACTTGTGATATATTTGCTAACTTTATTATTTTATTTAAATGAAGTATTATAATAACCATGGAAAACACTTCAGGGCAATGAATAACTGATATTTTTACATTATAATGCCATAATAAAATGATACAAATATATTTTTACCATTACCCGTCCGTTTTTGGATGTTCAAATGAATTTTTCAACAATCCTTATATTACCAGGTAAACTTTATCTGTATAAATATACTGAGTGTGGAACCAGAAATAGTAAGAAAATATTGTGATCATTTAGTACCAATGTAGAATATTCTGAAGAACTGATGATATATTCTGAACATTGAATTTAATTTCTAGAAATATACAACAGGGTTTTTCCTAAAGAAATCACCCATTGTGTGTGGATATTTAGTGGAGGTAGTATAGATACTTATTGAGTCATCTACAAGGTGTCCCAAAACAACTTACCATAAATTCTACAGGGTGAAATGGATACCAAAATAGGTCGATTAAAATCAACTTACATATGAAACAATTTTTTTTCCAGATCTTCAAATTTATTTATTTGTTCTCAAATGAAGTTTTTTTACCAGAAATCCTAAACTGTAATTTGGAAATTACCAGCTTGCAAATAATGTGATGAAGAGCTTGCAAATTGGTGAACATAAATGATCATTGTGGTCAATAACACAAACAAGGTAGAAACGAGCAAAACATGATAATTCTATATAATTTCTAACATCATAAACTATGGGGAAACACCAAAATCAATTTTAATATTCATCTAGGAAACGATGGGAAATTATGAAAAACCTGCAGTGAGAAAGAAGTTGGATTATTGATTTTGTCATTCTTTGAGATATTGAAATGTGGTCAGTGCCGTAATCCAAAAACGTTACATCAATTTTTATCAAAGAGAATGCGAAATATTTCCATGTACACTCACCGGCAAAATAAACCGGCCACCAAAAAATCTGCCCAAATTGTTCAGCCTGTAACTTTTTTAATCCTTGTCCGATTTTTATGAAATTTCGATCAAATCGTTGGTTCATGTTTCGGAATGTTAGCATAAATATTAGTCTTCCTGAAAAGCTGATGAATTGATCATTATACAGGGAAAAACCAAAGTTACTCTTTCGCCCTATACTTCTCAATGCCCTATGGCAAAATTGCGTGATTGAACATGGCTTCATTATACTTCGGATTAAAGTGTGATCCCTTCTTAACACAAAAGTTTTTGATTCACGTCAATATCTTATTTTTAAAAGAAGATACGAGTGTTTTAAGAAAGTATGGTGTTTTTTAACTTTTTTTACCAATAATCAGAACGTACATGAACTTATTCATTAACAACTTCAAGGATTAATTTCACATATTTCTACCTCACTTTCTTAGCACTTACCGGAAAATCAATTACATAAAACAAACAAGAAGCAGACCTGTAGTCAATAACGAGTAATTACAGCATTCAACTGCAGTGGCATCGAATTGATCAAATTACTGTAGTAGCCTTGAAGAATTGCCTAAAATCCTCCTTGAAGGGCGAATCGCAGCTCTTGAAGAGTATCTGACAAGGCTGGGCGAATGCGAATGAGACTCTAGATGTCACCCCTTAGATATGTAGATAGGTCCTGAATTATTGTTATTGCAAATAAAAAAAAATCTACTTTCTGGAAACACTTGTATCTTCTCTCAAAAAGGAGATATTGACGTTATTCAAGAACCGTTGTATGAAGAAGGAACAGAAAAGGATCACACTTCAATTTGAAACATGATGAAGCATTGAAGCAGTAGGTTAGAGAATGGTTCTGAATAATTGTAAATAAAGTTTTTAAAAATCCATACCCTTTTGAAGCACTTGTATCTTCCTTTAAAAAGTGGTTATCGACGTGAATAAAATACCATCATGTAGGGAAGAGATCACTCTTCAATCTAAAACATAATGAAGCTAAGTTAAACCACTCACCTTTCCCACGACAGGACGTTAAGAAGTTAAGGGTGAAAAAGTAACTTTCGTTTTTCCCTGTATAATGATTGAGTCATCAGATTTTCTTAGGAACTAATATTCAGGCTGACATTTGGAAAAATGAATCTAAGATTTGGTCGGAATTTCACCAAAATCAGACCAGCATTGATAAAGCTACAGAGCAAACAATTTGACTAAATTATTTGGTGGCCGTTATTTTTGCCGGTGAGTGTATATTGATTAAATTAGTAGGTATAGTTTATCCAAAAACAATTGCAGAATCTTGTGCCGCACCTGCAGTCACTTCAAAGGAAACCTCAAACATGCCGACGCCGCACAGTGCGAGATATTCTGCAATTGATATTGGATATACTTTACCACATGTTTTCCATGTACATGCATTCACCATAGTAAATTGTCCTGCGAATTTCAGAGCAGCAGCTTTCAAGGATTTTGAGAAATTGAAGAAAATCAGGGTATTAAATTGTATTTTCGTATACAGTGTGTCCCACTCACCATGCTCACCATGGGTATCTTTTAAACGGTGAGAGATACGAGGTCGGTTAAATGACACCAAATGTGGAGTTTGTCAAGGCCAACCATAATGTGAAAAAATATTTTGATAAAATCTATTCGTTTTTGTTTTATACGCAAAAAACAGATTTTGATCATTTTCGTGTCTCCTCCGTAACTTCTTTTTTTATGAAAACATTCAAATAGGAATTTCACATTCTCATGGCAGTTTTTCAAAGTGATTTCGAAAAAAATATGAAATTTATACCAACTCTTCTAGAAATTGAGATATCAGCACCAACTTCAGTTTTTCCAATGTAGGCCATAGCTCACTATGACTTAGTTACAAATAACTTTTTTTCTCTTACAGATGATATGTCGCAGTAATAGTTTTGTGTTGATAACAACGGAGTTATCGTCATTTATACAAAAACAAGAAATTATTTGGAAGCCGCCATCTTGAATTTATAAATTTTAACAAAGAAATCATGATCTCCGATCTCAAAAACCCCCACTTACCAATTTTGAATGGAATCGGACCAAATCTTGTCTGCCATCTTGGAGCAGCCATTTTTTTTAATTTGAACAAAAATTCCATAACTCCGATTTACTTGAAATTTGGCAGGTGTTCATAATTTCGGTGACAATTTATTATGGAATTTTTGTTGAATTTGAGAAAAATGGCTGCTCCAAGATGGCGGACAAGATTTGGTTCGATTCCATTCAAAATTGGTGAGTGTGGGTTTTTGAGGTCGGAGATCATGATGTTTTTGTTAAAATTTATACATTCAAGATGGCGGCTTCCAAATAATTTCTTGTTTTTGTATAAATGACGATAAAACTCCGTTGTTATCAATACAAAACTATTACCGCGACATATCATCTGTAAGAGAAAAAAAAGGTATTTGTAACTAAGTCATAGTGAGCTATGACCTACATTTGAAAAACTAAAGTTGGTGCTGATATCTCAATTTCTAGAAGAGTTGGTATAAATTTCATATTTTTTTCGAAATCAGTAGAATTTATGGTACGTTGTTCTGGGGCACCTTATTGACCACTTGAATGAGACCTCAAAAAGATGAGAGTAATTACTCATTTTGCTTCAGTAAGTATTTATAAAATTATCTCCATTTATACCTACACTAAACCAAAAAACAGTCAATGCTGTAGATTTTCAGAATTTTAATTAGTTACACACGTCTTTTTCCAGTTTGTATTCCTGTACTTAACTAGTTTTAATCAAAAATGTTTGAGAATGGCTGGGAATGGATTTAAATTTATTTCATTTTTCACTTCACAAACACCTTTGCCTGAATGGTTTTGAAAATTATATACATATTTCTTAGGTAATTCCTTGTGGCATTTTATTTTTCTCTTACTGTGAAAAAAATATATTCTTATATAAATATTATATGGAAAAAATTGCTTTTAATGTGTATTTTTATAATATGCTCTTTGGAAAAAGTATTTATTGTTTATATATAGTGCCATTATGAATATTTTGTGCCTTTGTACAAGTAAATGATTATGTAGTGAAGCTATAATGATGTGCCTTAATAAAAATGTTGAAACAATAAATGCCTATTCATTGTTTTCAACTGCATAGTTGCAGAATTTGAAACCTAAATTTATAGTTGCATACAGGGTGTCTGTGAAAGGTCTTTACAAAAACATACCACATATTCCCTAGACCAAAATAAGTCGATTTAAGTAAAATTACCTCAGTACAAAGTTGCATCGTTTGGGCTCCAGAGGGCCTTGAAGTTACAATTTTCAAATCGTTTTTCCCATATAAATTTAAAACGGCATATGCGATTTTGATGAAATTTGGAATATTGATAGAGTTTTTAAATAACTGCACCTTCAAAAATTCTACGCCAATGGAAGAAAAGGAGTTTGAGTATGAAATTTAGATTGCACAACTCAATTACTTCAAAAAAGGTACTCCTGATAAGACTCGATTATTGCTCTCATGGTTTTGATAAAATTTGCATTTTAGTAATTTTAGAACATAAACAATAATTATTGAGATACAAACTTTGTCAAAACCATGAGAGTAAATCGAGTGTTATCAAGGGTACTTTTTTGTAGTAAATGAGTACCCAATCCAAATTTTATACTCAAACTCCTTTTCTGCCATAGGCGTAGAACTTGATTTTTTAATTAATTGTACCTTTAAAAATTCTACGCCAATGGCAGAAAAGGGTTTTGAGTATGAAATTTGGATTGATTACTCATCTACTACAAAAAAGTTTCCCTTGATAACACACGATTTACTCTCATGGTTTTGACAATGTTTGTGTTTTAATCATTGTCTGCTAAATATATGGAGAATTTAATAATTATTGCTTATATGTTCTACAATTACTAAAATGCAAATTTCGTCAAAACCATGAGAGCAATCGAGTCATACCAAGAGTACCTTTTCTAAAGTAAATGAGTTGCGCAATCTAAATTTCCTACTCAAACTCCTCTTCTTTCATTGGCGTAGAATTTTTAAAGGTGCAATTATTAAAAAAATCAAGTTCTATGCCTATTTATTATTATCGGACAAAATTTTAACACAAATTTTTTTTGACACATGAAACTATCAATATACCAAATTTCAGCAAAATCGCATATGCCGTTTCAAATTTATATGGGAAAAACGATTTAAAAATTGTAACTTCAAGGCCCTCTGGAGCCCAAACGATGCAACTTTGTACTAAGGTAATTTTACATGAGTCGACTTATTTTGGTCTAGGGGATATGTGGTATGTTTTTCTAAAGACCTTTTTACAGACACCCTGTATAATAAGACTGACATCTCTTATAAGTACTATATTTTATTTTTCTTTATTTAGTTTTAGTACAACAGCAAACAAAACTCAACCTTGAATTGAATGGAGGTCTATAGAACATTTAATTCAAAACCTCATTGCCCTTTTTGTTTGAGAATAACTTGAAGGTGGCAATTATGACGCATATATGGATTGATTCTGCCATGAGCTCTATAGGTTCTTCTAGTAGAAGTAGGTGCCTGACTTGCTTGAACATGATGAACATAGTAGTCCACAGGATCCTTCCCCAAAAATTCACAATTTGCTGAAGCATTTTTCAACAGATCAATCATACACTTTACTGCATTTCTTGGCCAACGACCCTGAAATAGTACGAAAATTCTCATTGTAAAAGCCACAAAGTAGATGTACTGATGCTTACAATAACTGTTTGGAACTGTTTGGCTTGGGCACATCTCCCAATTCCACTCTTGAATTTCCTAGCAGGAATACATTCTTTCTTAGCCAAAACATTCAACAAATAGGCGTATGCTCTAGTAGTTGTCATGTTTCGAATTGCATTGGAGACTTCAACAAGATTCTTGAACTTGACAGGTACATTGGAAGCTTTGGCTTTTACCAAGAATTCTCCTCCTTTCTCAAGTTCTTTCATAGAATAACGATGAGTCCCACTATGTTTCACCATCTTGGTAGTGGTAAAAATATGAAATGAGAAATTATTGTATTGATTATTGATACGTATTTCGATTCGATTTCTACAGTAGGAACACGCTCACCGTTCTTTTTTTCGGCGGGAATTTCAGAACGGAAAAGGAAATGACAGATGACAATATGCGATCGTGTCGTGTTATAATCATTTTGTGCCTTTTGGTGTTATTTCCCGCTGTGTCACAAACTCACTCTTCTTCATTTGTAAAAAGAAGAGCTAGAGAAGAAGAGGAAGGTTATCAGATGACGTTGCGATGAAATTTCTATTTTTTTTTAATATTGAAAATTAGAATATTTGAATACAAGAATGTATCTGGATGCTCTGAATTCTCTGAAAAACTGTGGAGAAAAATAATTTGTGTTGGCGTGAGCTGATGAACAAACTATTTTCAAGTTCGTTCAATCAATTGGTTCATTTATGAGGTGTTTCTTTCAAAATTTATTAATAAGGACTCCTTGCATGGTGCTTGCACAGTTGCACATAGTGTAGTTTGTCTACATGCTTGAAGAGAGTGAAGAGTATAATATATGAATCCAAATTCAACTCTGTTGAACATAATTATGCTGAAGGGCTGAAGGAAGGAACATTACCATCATATTAAATCAAATACCAAATTAGCCACACCACCATAATATCCAGATTCTAGGCTAGTGTCTAGGCACCTATAGGTGAGTAGGTACTTTTTTATAGCATCCAAGTAGATAGGACTGCATGCTAAAGATATATTATAAATTATAACATTAAGAAAAAGTGATTATTTAAACCTGGAGCCAACACTGATCTTTAGTATCTTGTAAAATATCTGAAAATATCTGATACTTTTCTGAACATTCAGAATAGAAGGTGCCTACTTTTGTTGCAGTGCAAACAGCAAACAGTGATAAGAGTTTATATTTATTTATCAGCTATAGATTATTTGTACTTATAAACTCATTGCAAGTGCACTACTTATATAATGATGTATTTTTTGTATCATATTATTATTTCAATTCTAAGGCCATCACAGTTCCATCTGATGCTAGTTGATCTGTAATTCAATCTCATTAAAATAATTGCATTTCTGTTACATGGGAATTTTCAAGTTTTATACAATTTGAACTTTGGACTTTGTACTATCTATCTTCCTACCTACCTACCTACTTAATTTGTTTAGTAACATCAGCTTTTTTATTATCTGATATATGATCCTGTTCATTTACTTGATATGATGGGTTTAATATTAAGAACTTAATATTTTCTTCAGTAGAATTCTGAAAATAAGTTTATTGTAACTGGATATTGAGCACTGAAAAATAGTGATAAAAGGTGAATATTTTTACTGAGTATCCCAAAATATGTATCTATTTTGTTGTATTTAATCTGAATTTTTTTATGCAGAGCATATGTCTGCATTTACCTACCCACCAACTCTTTGACCTCATTAGAACTCCATAAAAAGTCTGCTACCTTTCATTTTTCTATACATACTTCCACAGGAAATGTTCCTCTGAAATCTTTGCTATAATGTCATCACTAGCAATACCAGTCAGACGAACTCGACAGGCCCAGTCAGCACATCGCTTCGTCGTTAACCTTGAAAAATGTCAAACAACACCCCACCAGAACTCTTACTTCTATAGAATGGCGAAGCTTAGGAATACTTCCATTCAAAAACTTATAACCTCCAAACACCAACACACACATCCTCTCCCTATCCTCCCTAGGTACAAGTGATGTTCCATGAAAAATATAGAAATTTCCCAAGGAATTTCCTTTCATGCGCTCCAAAAAAAACCTACTTATCTACCTGTGAAAAATGATCAGGATGTTACAGTTTTCATGACTTTTTAGCTAACACAATATGGCAGAAGCCCACTCAGCAGTGGCATTCTCTTTTGCCATCACCCATGAAGGATGGGATGTCAATTTTGATAGAGAAGTACTTCATCTTGTTTGGCAATCTGGAATCAGGTCATGGAAGAAAAGGCTTGCCAGATTTCAGGTAATGAAGCCCTAATAGATTTAATACCACTGTATTAAACATTTTGAATGTCTCATAACTAAAAATAATATTCATTAACAAGAATTAATATCCAGTGGTGAATAATTGAAAGTGATGATATATGAATTGAATTATTTCATATCAGATACCTATTCAATGAAAATACCATAGGCCAAAACAAAACAATTGGCATAAAATTTGTAAAATGTATTTGTAATATCATATAATTAACATTCATGATATCTTTCTTGTTCCTTCCTTATTTTTTTACTACCTGGTATATGATGATGTTTTGAAGCAGAACTTTGTTATTGACCTATGGATTGTTTTTTTTTCCATTTCATAGGAGGTACCTTTCATTTCATGTTGGTTAATTATTATTGTAGATTGAAAATATCTAAGTTGTTCTTTATAAACTTTGAGTGACATAGTTTTGATTTGATGCAAAATATGTTTCATATGATTGAAGAGCATGATTTTTGGGTTCTGAAAAAGTTGGTAAGCTCCATTTATTTCTACTGATTTTGGTATTTGTATAATGATGGAAATTAATGTGAAATCATATTTTTTTCACCATCATATTATATACTAATAATTGTTTTGTTTTTATTGAGGATCTCACTACAGAGTTTTCCTTTATAAAATTTATATTTGTTCATTAGGATTAATGAAGAAAAAAATGCAAATTGTATAATAGACTTTGGAGAACTATACACACTGCATAGATAAATGCAATTGAAAAGAGGGGACCTGAATACCTTAATAAATAGCATTAAGGGTATGTTTCTTACATGTTTAGGAAGTCCTGAATTGAATATTTTCTTTAAATCTCATGCCAATGCTTCTATATGCTTGCCCAATATATTTCATGCTACAGTAATTACAAATGTATCTCATAAATACCTGATTTACCATTGGTATCAATTTCATCTTTAGGGTTGCCCAGAAGACTATGAGTAATGTGGTATTATGGGTATATTTCATATTTGATATAGCTACTTCCTGAAAAAGTGAAAAAAAAGCTGGCTACTTCACTTTTTTGCAGAATAATGTGTACAATGGTGTGTACCCAGGACATTTCAAGTACCTTTGGCTGTTGGTTGGAATAATTTCAGCTGTTCATTGGAATGGACTTTCATTGCCTTTGAATATGACAAACAGGGTGTTACAATTTTTACCAGGGTGAGTGTGTATACATTGTTGGGTACTGGCAAAACTAACTAAACGTAGTTGCTTTCCAATTGAACATTCCTCTGAAAGGAACCTGTACTAACCTACACTTGAACTGATCCAGGATGTTGTAATTGGAACATAATTTTCATCCGACTATTTTCAGTGACACTTTATTGACGGAGTTGGCTCGAAATTTGAATTTGAATTTTGTATAATTGTAGTATTTTTATGATGGAAAAACTTGTTTTATTTCTCATCTTGCACATTTTGTACTAAATAACCCACAGGAAATGATGCTGAATCAAATTGAAACACTATAGACTAAGTAGTGAAAATTCTGGCTGAGGTGAATATTAAGATTAAAAGAAAAATAATTAGAATCAAAAATGAAGATACTGTGTTGTTGTGCTTTAAGCTTTAGGGTAGACCTTTTCTGGTTCTTCTAGTCCAAATATATTCTATACTGTACTCTGTTTTCGGGATCATCTAGATATTTCCCAGAGATACATTCCACTCATTGTTTTGTATTTGATAAGGTTAAACAGATGAAGGTCGTTTTCTACTAACATCTAATAAATGATACTTTCATTTTGAGCAAAGCCAAAAATACTCATTTCAAAAGACAAACATACATCTGACGTGTCTGACAGAATATTTTTTGCTTTGACATATACCTGATTATTTTTAGTTTGTTACCCTATTGTAGAAGCTAGTGCTCTAGGGGAAAGGGTTTGAGTACTCCAAGCTCTTTGTAATGGGTAGAGTCCCTGTATTTATTTGACAGTTTTGCTGTAATAAAAGTACGGACACTATGACAAGCAGTGACAGAAGGCATAACCCTAAAAAAATTCAAATGACATGATCAATTTGCCGGGCACTGACAGTTCATGAACGTACATGACATTGAATTATTTGAAAATTCAGTTTTTCAAAGATTGAAATGGCTAATTGTGTAGTTGAATACTGCAAGAAAAGAAGGGAATCATTTTATTTATTCCATCATTTCTCCCATGATAAACATCAGCTATAGAAATGGAAACAAAATATGAAGCGGCCATTGTGGAAATTGAGTTCAGCTAGCAAAATTTGCGAAGTACTCAATATTTGAATTTTTCGATTGAATATGATGCATATTCCAAGGAATAATATAATTTCTAATTTAAATTTTAACATAATAGGTGCACTTCAAAACTGAAGATATGTAAGTGGAATACCATTAAATTGAAAGAAAATGCGGAGCCTTCATTCTTTCATCAGAAAGATTACAGAAGACATTCTATATTGAATTCTGAAAAATTTGTTCAAGAAAAATTCAAATAGGAAGCCCCAAGATCAAATTAACTGTATTTTAGATCACAAACAAGAAATTATCGAAGATTTAGAGAGAAAATATGCAAACATTCAGAATTTATTAATAGAGAATGATGAGAAATACAGAAAACAAATCAAAGAACACGATGAACAGTTGAAAAATACCTTCAAACAAAAAGACACTGGAACGAGACTGCAAGTAACAAGAATTCACAGCTATTATAAGAAACTAATTTCAAATGTTGAACTATCTCATCAAAAATATTCGGAAGACTGTGAGGAAACTGCGAATGCAAAAATGCAGGCAATTTTGAATCAAATCAAGACCCAAATTGATAGTTTCGGTATACATCTCAACCAAAATTATAGTCAACTTCAGTATTTTAAACCGCGAATTCATGAAATTGATGACAAATCAACATATTTCTCATAATTCTTCATATGATGGTAATTCGCCATAGATAATAAGCGTACGCCACCTATCGGAGTTCTTGAAAGCTGTCAAAGCGGCCTGTCTACTTTGTTTTCATTGGTTCACATTTGTTTTTTGTTTGTTCTTATTGGTCACATCATCGAAACAAACCGCTCAGAAGTGTTCAAGCTGTTGCCGAGAGGTGGAGCGACGTGTTATTTCCTATCGCGAATAGATGGGGTGCAGAGAGTGTTGGAAGAAGGAAAATAAAACAGATGTGTTGATGAAACGAAGGCAAGAAAAAGAGAGTAAAAGTGTTGGAATGCGAGATAATTTATTAAGATGTAATGCTGAGAATTGAATCACTGCTGCTAACATTCAGTTGAAATTTGGAGACTAAATTTTTTTTGTAATGCTCTTATAATTGAGCAAAAACTGAAGGTACCTACCTTTATTTGAAATTTCATATCTTGAACGTAGGATCCTATTCTTGAACTATTATCATTATATTTGTATTTGTCGAATTTTCTGATCGATCATGCACTATAAAGTGTCTTGTTTTTTTATGTGACTAGAAATAAGTTTGTTAATTGGTCGAATTGTTCTTCCCATTCATTTACATTTCGCTCAGCAGAACTGGCTACTGAATCCTGACTCTTCTATTGTAAAACTTGTGCATCCTAAAATTAAAATTAAATAAATTGACTTGACATATACCCTTTGTTAAGTATATCGAGAAATCCTATCAATAAATTAAGTAACAAACTATGACCCCTCTTGGCCAGTGAGATGAGACGCCACTTCTTTATGAAAAGAAAGACAGAGATAGATATATGGATGTACCCTTCACCGCGTCAGTAGAGGAAAGAAGATCCGAAGTGCATGGAAAAGCCAATGAACTATAAACGACTGGAAGGGACCCTCTGTGAACGACGAGTGAGGCAAAAATATTGTTCAGGCAACCCGCAGTGTTTACGGATACCTATCTCTCTCTCTATCTTATGATCGCTAATGGGAAGCGCTCGCATTATTTGAAATATTTTCTCGTTTTTTGCTTTTATTTAAGAGTAAACGTGATTAAATAAAAATATTCATATGAGAATATGGAAAATGTTGCAATCAATTATCATTAAAAAATTATTATTGATTTTTTTATTGACTTGAAAATGAAATTTCATTATTATTCTTACAGGATTAGGAAGTCAAATGAATACAAAATTGAAATTATATATTTTCATTCAAATGTCACAATATATTGTACAGGGTGAGCAAAGCACAATGTCTTGGCACTATCAGAGGAGAAAGAAAAACGATAGGAAAAATTTCAAAAGAGGTTCTTGAATGGTGTTGACTACCTAAGGTCCATTTTGAGCATACTTTTCATAGGTTCCTATTTTACCATTAGGTCACTGCCTACAAACATATTCCTATCCCTTATTAAAAAAATACAATTCTCAATACAATATCCTTCTCCAATGGAACAGTTTGGGTTTCTTTATTGATGAACTTCGAAACTTGGGAGCTGGAAGTCATAGGTAAAGTCCATAATATGAGAAACATCTTCCTTAGGACCCAATGTTATGAACTTCCAAAGATCCTGAAAATAAATTACTTGCTAGTTTTTATCTTAAAGAGATGCAAACATACTTTTTTTTCAATATTAATCACCTAGGTACCTATGAGTTTTCTTATTTTCCTTCAAGGATCAGTATTTTTTGATAACAAATGCTTAGGAAATTGCAATATACTGGGTACAGCATCTGGTTTCAATAACCTAGCAGTACCTGGTATGTCTAACTAAATAATCAGTTAGCAGGAAATGCTCTCCACAAAGCTTGCTGGTTTTAGATGGAGTCCAACTCTCTCTACGAACTGCCTTAATCCATAATTCAAGAACGTCTGAATGGAAAACTGATATAATATTACTTAATAATATTAAAATATTCATGTTTATGGAAAAGTCATGGAAGTATTTAACTTTGACAAATAATATAGGTATAGTTTTTGATCATAGGTTTTCTGAGACTGGGAACATTGTACACCTAACTGATGATCATTTCAAGAACTATATTTTCCAAAAATCTGAACAACATTCAACTTACCCATGGAATGACAATTTCCTTTTGTCTTGCTCGTTCTTGCATCCAAAGGCGACACAATAAATCACCATTGTTCATCAAAACCTTCTCAACAATCACTTCACAGTGTTCACACCAACAAATTCAGTCCTTTTTATAAAACAAAACACGCCAAATGAATAGATATTTCACATAAACAAAGACAATAAACTTATGTTTTCACTTTCTTGCCTGTTTAGATGAGAGAAAAAATCTAAAGTACTTTAATTATTAAATAAAAGGAAACGTAAACACCAATCCACCATTAAACAACACGAGTAGGAATGAGACAGGTTACCGTAAATCATGCTATCTTTGTTGCAGCTGCCCCTGATACACTTTATTCAACCAAACCTTCAAAGTCATTTTGAGAATTTGGGGTTATGACTTCTGTCACTGCTTGTCATAGTGTCCGTACAGGGTATCCCAATTTGGGCACTTTTGCGGGGTATCTCCCTTATCAGTAAAGATAGAGCATTGCGGTTTTCGCGACAGTGTGCTACTTTTTAATGAAATTAATAATGGCGCAAGCAGAATTGTGATAGCTCTTCCGGTTGTCGAGATACAGGGTGGAATTGAAAAATATCACCCCCCGTGTCTCAGTTATCTTTGAACTTATCGAAGAAGTTGAAACTTGTTTTTATAGAGTTTTTCTAGTAGAATCCAGTGGCGTAGTTATTTTTTTGCTAGCACCTTTTGTTTTTTAGTTATGGAGCAAACATATGTTTTTTTAAATGGAAAATAATTTTATACAATTAGATATTTTTGGAAAGCCCACTTCATGCTCAATGTATATATGAAATAATATACAGGGTGTTCCATTTAAAAAAACATATGTTTGCTCCATAACTAAAAAACAAAAGGTGCTAGCAAAAAAATAACTACGCCACTGGATTCTACGAGAAAAACTCTATAAAAACAAGTTTTAACTTCTTCGATAAGTTCAAAGATAACTGAGACACGGAGGGTGCCTGAAAAGTGATATTTTTCAATTCCACCCTGTATCTCGACAACCGGAAGAGCTATCACAATTCTGCTTGCGCCATTATTAATTTCATAAAAAAGTAGCACACTGTCGCGAAAACCGCAATGCTCTATCTTTACTGATAAGGGAGATACCCCGCAAAAGTGCCCAAATTGGGATACCCTGTACTGTTATTACAGCAAAACCGTCAATGGTACAATGAACCAGTATATCACCTGACGAAGCTACTGTGTTAGCGACACATGTCGTGTGTTTGAGAATTTTGTGGAAATCTTATCGTTTGTGAAGTTTTTACATTCAACAAAAATCGACCAAAACTTGGCTGCTGTTCAGCTATGAATAGTTGTCACAACTGTCAGAAGAAGTTTTTCAAATTCTTTAGGGTAGTTCTCATCAGTGCTTTTGATAGAAATCGCATTTCCCATCAAATATTCCTTCAATTCATAATGAATAATATGATGTATATACCGAGATGTGACGATTTTGATAAATACACCGCCAGAGACAGAGATAATGGAAGAAGCTGCGAAAGTTGGATTTGTTACCGGAAATTACAAGAAAAAGTATGAATTGGCCCTTCAGGCTCGTGCCACAAACTTTCACACTCGTGAGAAAAGTTGAACTTTTCCCACTTGTTGCACAATATACTATTTTATACTTCATTCCTTATTCCACAAGATGCATTGTGTGTTCCAAGATATAACCTAATGTGTGGGGATTATTATTTTTTGTTTCTTGTTTTAAATTTTTCATTCTTTATTTTTTATTCCTTATTCTTTCGCATTGTGTGACGACCTTGAGTCATTGCTCAGTGATATGTCCTCTACACATTTTTTCAGTGATAGTTTTTAACTTGTGCTTCCAGGACTGATGTGCAATGGCAATTTGCAGCATGTTTCCTCACCTCCTTAGTCTACTGGTTGACTGTTGTGTATATAGTGAGGTATATTTTGAAGCTACTATTCATGTATAAAGGCTGGATGTATGAGTCTCGAGGAAGAGGAAGTCAACCTACAATAAAAACCAGAATATGGTTGGTTTTAGTGAAATTGTTCAGTGGTTGGAATACGCCAAAATTGTACAGTTATCAAGGATCTTTGCCTAGATTGCCGCTACCTGCAGTAAATGATACTATGGAAAGGGTGAGCTAATAAAGATATTGATATGACAGTTGAAATCAATAGTGATCAAAGAATCTAGTCTCTTCTTTTTTGTAACAATCTTTCTTCATAGTAGAGAAAGTTTCTGAACATTATTATATTGCAAGTAACCTAGGAATTCAAGAATAAGGGCTAGTTTCTTCAAAAATTTCAACACCTATTTTATCGGTTATTGATTTTTTTCTGATTCTGAAATACCCTGTATAGATGTTCACTCCCAAAATATGGTAAAGTTCACAGAAATTCAAATATATGTTTTTTTAATCTCTTGGAGTGCAGGAAATTCCTATAATGTTCAAAGGACATAATATGTAAATATACATATGTATTTTGTTATATGGACAGATGGAAGTATGAATTTCAAGAAAATTGGGACAAAATCACTCATAAACGGGCATAATGTTGAAAAAAGAAAAACTGCTCTATTTGATGTTTTATGAAATGTTTGCAATTTTTTGAAAGCAATGTCAAACTGACAGATGTCAAGGTCTGAATCGGAATTTTGCATTATTTTCAAAGTGACTCCAAAGTCAAACATTGCACACATCAATTAACAAAAAATACATAATATTTTGTTCAGTTGTATGATCCCAGGCAACCAGATGACGTTCCAGTGACGTCTTTTTTACGTGACTTGAATGACCAAGGTGACGTCAGTAGTTGACGTCGCATTGACGTGATTATGACGTGAATAAGTCACAGCCCAATGACGTCATATTACTCACGTCGTATTGACGTCATTCACTCACCAAACTGTGACGTCCGACTGACGTCATAATGACGTCAAAATGAGGATTGAATTTGGCGATGATACGTAAAAAAGATTCCTTTAACATGCTCTACTCTACTAGCCTCTGATGACATTATATAATATTGATTATGCATTGTTGAGTCTACTTATTGGTGGGTCCCTCCTGTGTCATGTACATTCAATCGCCTATTCAGCAGCGCCATCCTTCAGTACGCATCTCCATCAGAATGTAATCAGTTACTCGTATTTGTATCAAAAATTATGTAGTTTGTGTCGGCGAGATGTAAGCAAACAAAGAATAGTTTGATAGCATGAAAGGATGTTGGCGAATTTGGCTTCACTTTGTTGAATAATGTATCTTTGTCACCCAACAAAAATCTAAATAGCAAATTATTGAAAAATTTCCTAAATGACGAAGCTCACCAAATTGGGACGTCACACCGACGTGATTTTTAGACGTCATAGATACGTCACTGCAACGTCATAAGAGTAACGGTTTCAATATATACCTGAACAATCATTTTTATATATACATAGCTTGTTGGTTTCCGAGATATACAGTGTTTCAAAGTTTTTTTGAAAAATGTTTTTCTACTTCTTTTCGGGTATATTAATAATTAGAATAAAACTTGCATGTTGATTTGCTTTCATGAGTTATACTTCTGTTTCACATGATAATATATAAGTATCCATGGTTTAGAGAAGGTCTGGGAAAAATGGACGTCGACAGGACGTCTCTGCAACGTCATGAAACTGACGTCTGCTTTCACCCATCTAAGTGACGTTCACTCGACGTCGAAACGATGACGTGATTATCACGTCATAGAAAGTACGTCATAGTGACGTCATAAATTGGTGTTGTGACGTCTCTGACGAAAAATCACCAATTAGGGACGTCACAGTGACGTGATCATTCGTCATCTGGCTGCCTGGGATGAATTATTGATCTTCGTCATACAGGGCATGGAAAGTAATTCTGAATTGAGAAAACCCAATCAGGAATCTGTGATTAGAGGTCTGTAGAAGCAAATTTCTTTCTCCTAAGTTTGAACCCCTTGATTGGATATGAAAGTATTGAAAAGGAATATTCTCAGATATATTATCAACATGAAAAAAATAGATACATGTAAAGAAATACATTGGGAACTTGCATTATCTATCTAATAAAACTATTAATTCTTTCTCAGTATATTCAATAGAAAACAACTACTTTCCTGGCTGTATACCACAATAAATATTGAATTACATCAATTGAACACACTCAATATGAAAATGAAATCTTCTGTAGTTGAGTATGCAAGCCTATTACCAGTAGAGATCCGACTGGATGGTATTAGTTTGACAAGAGTTCCAACACAGAAATGACAACGATTAGGGTTTTTGACTGTTTAGATTGATTGAGTTACACACCTTGCATTGCCACAAGAGCACCATAGTCGTCCCGCGCTTCTTCATTCAAAATTGTTTGAATTAGACAATAAATTTTATAAACGTCAGAATTAATATAAAATTCCATAATAATACTTTCGGGAAGAAAGCAGCATGGAATTCACTTGCTGTGTAATGAATTGTGCCAATTCTGAAAAAAATGGATATCATTTATTCAATTTTCCAAAACAAATATCAACCATTCACTTATGGAAGGAAGATATGAAACGGTCTGGATGGAAAATCAATTTGAAGACGAGCAAAATTTGTGAGGTACTCATTAAAATTCACTTCTTATAACAGCATCTGATTAGAATGAAACTATACAGGCTGATTTTAAAATGAGTGCATATATTCAAGACATATATATGAGAGTGTCTAACAAAAATTACTAAAATATTTGATTTTTCCTAAGTCTTCACATTAACGAGAAATTTCATTTTGAAAATTGAACATAAAATGCTTCGAAATTCGAGTACGCCACTGGGAAGCAAGTGAAATCTGCGGAATCCCAGGGATTCTCCAATTCGTCATTCACTAAAGTCAAAACAAGACAGTGATGCCAGATTGTTTCAGAGACGAATATCCTGATAAAAATTTGTCACAGAATGAATATGAATTGAAATAGGTTATGGAAACTAATAGAGGTGAATGTAATATGTACAGGAGCCTTATTTTTTAAAGTTCACTGAGAGAACTGTGGAGTGATTATCTCCATGGATCACAAGAGACGGATAGAAACATGAGGGGAATGAGAGAACGTCCCCCTTCCTTCCACAAAGTTGAAAATCGACTCACCTAGTAGATTTTCTCATACCTGCTCGAACAGCAAAACTCCCGAGAGCAAACAAATACTAATATCGAGTCCATTCCAGACTAATATCGTCCTGTGTTCTTGTTGGTTCATATTCGCACTTGAACCATCGAAAACGACTCGACGACGACATATCCTTCCTGGCAATCTCACATTGAAAATCACGACCACATCACGATTATCACAACACAAGACACAACATCCAATTATTTTATTTTTTATTTTACGTTTACAATTATTTTACAAACACACAAATTACACACAAACAAAACTATTATTGTTATCATATGATCTGTCAACAACATTTCTCAGAACAGTAGTATCTGTGACCATAGATTTCCTCTTTGCTGTGACCTTTGACAGTTCTAACTAGGATTGTTCGCGTTCAGAAAATAAACAATCCAAAACCGTCAGAAGCATGCACAAGTCCACAGAACCCAAAAAAATCATACAGTTCTGTGAAACTGCGCATGCTTCTGACAGTTTCGGACGCAAGAATTCAGATGACCATGAATTACTAATAGGCGATTTCTACGGACCAATCAGAAACAGCAAAGTAGCGCCTGCGTGGTTGCGATTCATCCTGATTGGACACAGCTGATTGGATTTGTGAGATTAGTGTATAGTGAGGAAGTATCATTTCATTGAATTAAACTAATAGATGTTTTTTCCAAATTAGTTTTTTATGAAAATGTTAGTTTCATTCAAAGATATGATCCTTCCTCACTAATACATTAATCTCAATCACCTGTGCCCAATCAGGATGAATCGCAACCACGCAGGCACTACTTTGCTGTTTCTGATTGGTCCGTAAAAGTCGCCTATTAGTAATTCATGGTCATCTGAATTCTTGCTGGTAGGGGTAGCACACCATAAGAACAATCAAAATAAAGATCCTTTCTTGACAGTTTGTTGTTCTGAGAATGTATGTTATTTTGGAAAACGTCAAAACGTGATACTAGTAAATGTAAACAGTGTGGTCCTTGTCATTACTTTTGTCAATGACGGCTAAATGGACTGTCTGACGAGTACTACATGACTGTCCAATCACTCAGTTCAGTGTATTCTCCACCAGAGGGGTTTACTTGCCGTTCTTTGCGGAGAAGTCATTTGTTTAGCTCTCATTCAGTTGTTTTCCAATAAACATAAGTGTCAAAACTTTGTCACTGTCAGGTCTCTGATGTGTTCTGTTGAATATCCATAAATTCCTTTACTTTTTCGGATTTTCATTCAATCAAGCATTCATCTGTGATTCTTCTTTGTGTTTAGTTCTGGTAGTTTATTTATTCAGGTTTGCTAGTTGTGTCTTCATCATGTATGTACAACCTTGTCGAATTTTATTTTTGAAGGCATTGGTAAGATGGTAAGAATATGGTTTTTCATGTACACTTTTCAGATGATTTTCAATTTCAGCCTCGATTCAACCATTAGAACACTAGTGTTAATTCTGGTGTTGAAGTTTGTGTCAATGATTTTGGAAGACACTATAGAGATTAGAGTGATGATCAATAGCACTATACATATATGGCGACTTATCAGGATATGGGGACATACATTCAGAAAGGATCGCTTACCATAATTTTCAAGGTATGTTTTAGTCTGCATTGTTGTTGCTTACCTAGGTAGGGTAGGTGTAGTATTGTTGAAAACTGTTTCATGTGTTCAAACTTAGATTACCATATACCTACAGGATGGGCATCCCAAAAAGCAACACCAAGAATGAAAGAGGAATGGAATTTAAGGTATATGCTCTTTGAATCCCAGAGAATCATCAGTCTAGGCCAACATCTGGAGTTTTTTCGAGTGCCACAACTACAATTTGAGGTATTTTGTGTTCCTGCTTCCTGGCAAATATCACAGAATAATGATACTATCAGAGATTTTCAAAAATGTTTTTCACTGCTGTGATGATTTTTTCACAAAAAATTTGAATAAATTATTTGGCCTAAGTTTATATATTATGTATGCCCATCTATCAATGAGATCCTA